GCCTCTCTCCTTCTAATCGCTGTGGTGACTCTTCCAATTCGGGCTGGAAAACAGCCTCCCATTTCATGCGGCTCTTAGCTCCGATGCTTCCTCAAACCGAGCTCTCGCATCATCTCCGGAGAAGGAAGGCACGCTTGTTGCAAAGTACTGGTTAGTGCCAAGGCCGTCCGCAGTTGTGTTGCTCTGACCTGTCTTTCTGTTTGGCCACAGTGATCTAGACAGAGACTTTTGGAATAACAATGACAGCAGCACAGTGCAGCAGAGGTGGAGCTCCTATCCGCCGAAGGAGTTCGTACTTAACATTTCTCCCTATGCCCCATACGGAGACCCTCGCCTCACACTCAAGTGAGTCTTGGTCCAAGACTGGTAAGAGTCTTCACCCTTGAGCAGGGCTGTAACGAGACAGGGACAGCTCCACTCCTTTCCCTTCCTTTCCTTCCTCTGTATCCCTTTCCCTTCCCCCTGTCACCCTGGCTTCACAGTCACCACCGCTTACCACTCATCTAATGAAAGCCATTCAACGTGCCCGTTAAATGACATTTCGAATTTAATCTCAATGATTTTGAGGAAAACATTTCCATATGAGTAGCGCTGCAAAAGGCTTAGTTTAAAGGCCACCGTCTAAATGTTCTAATACGTTGCAAAAATGCATACAAATGGCTGCTTTCAAGCCTGAGTGTTATGGTTAAATACAATTTTCTTGAACTATAGTGTAGGAACGACAAGAAAAACAAATGTAGCCAATGTAACCATACCGGAGGGAACAAGTGGTTACTAATGATTACTCATCATCTGCTCTGGAAATGTGAGTGGGTAAAATGTCATACACGCACATTACAGCCTGCCCGCCACGGCCATCCTATTATTCCTGCAGAGGATAGCAGCGCGGCCCTGCAACTCCCTCCGGCTCCTTCCTGCTGTTCCTCCTCACTCGCCGTCACCTTTTAACGAACGCTCAGGCACATGTTCCGATACCCACTCCACTCCCTACAGCCCTGCCGGTCATACTAACTCCTGACCTCTAACCTGTCACCTCTCTCCCATGGAACGTAACCATGGAGACGGACAACCCTCGTAGTTTACCCGGCTCAAATCTGTGTTTGTATGTACTCTTACCTGTTTTTCTCTAATCTCCACCGCTCCTTGTTGCGTGCCTTTGTTGCGGAGGGTTGACCGTTAGACCAGTTTTGCTGTGTGATGCCAACGTTCACCTGTAGTTGACATTCGTCTGTGCCCTTCCTCTGATCTCCCGTTAGATCTGGAAAGTGAGCGACGCTAACACCGTAACACTTGAGCTGCATGTACTGTCGGTGACAAAGGGAGATAAGGGTTTTTTTTTTGTTTGTTTGTTTGTTTTTTTTTCCCCGTGATGCAATAAAAGTAATGTTTGGAATCCAGTAAAAGCTCAAGCAAGTGTGAAGGCTCTGGGCTTAGATTTCCTGCTACCAGGAAATCTGTCAGATAAACTGTCTAATGAATGGTCATTTTTAATGAGCTGAGCTGGTGAGAAATGTCTGCTAAAAGGCCAGGAGAGATGAGGCTGCAGTGTGCTGGCGAAGGTGCTGCATACATGGTTTTTCTGTCTAAAAAAAAAAAAAAGAAAAATCCACCAGAAGATGATGGCTGCCGATCCCGGTCAACCAGCCTTAGTCAAAGCTCCGATGCTTGTGTTTTGAGGTCATTTTTAAATTTTTCCCTGCAAAAATGGCAAAATGGATTTTGTTCTCAGTACCACGGCAGAAAATACACTGGCATTGAACAATTGAGGAAATCGGCAATTTGTTATTATAAGGAGAGACAGAGGATGACCTCCTGACTCTGAACGCTTATTTTACATGATTTTCAAGCAGACAGCTACAATATCATTTCCTGTTTAACCGTTCCCTTGAGATCAGCAGCTTTCAGCTTTCTGTCATGACACTGGGCCTCATTTATCAAATAGGTGACGATCTTTGGAGATCCATCTTCATTTTCAAAGAATTACTGCGTTTTAAAGGCAAAATCACAGATGTTTTGTTTCCTCAATGTTTTCCCGTCTACATATTTGACTCTGGTGACAATGACACAATTTCTGGATTGGCAGCAGTAATTTGTCATATCGTCATTTGATACTTCAGTTTATCAATCTGATACATCAGAGGGGAGGAACTGTCAAGTGTCAAGGATAATGTGACTATATAACTTTTGTAAATCACTTTGACTCCCAGTGAATCTAAGGCGGTAGAGAGATTGATGCCTGACTTTACTTGCACATTCCCGTAAATACTTGTATTGATTTATGGGCCCCATTTATTTACATTTTCCTATTTCTAATAAAAGTAAGCCCTTGTTTACCTTGCATTGAGCTCGATAAACGAGGCCCAGGCCTGCTTTGTTGGCCATCCCTCCAGCAGTGTCATCCGTGCCGTTGTGATTGCTAACTTATCCACGTGCACATTTAGGTCAGTTGGTCACAATCAATCGTGAAGGGTAACCTTCAAACGGAAGCAAGACAAATATTAGCCTTCCCTGACCTCAACAACTTTGATTCCTCCTGTTTTGCCTCATCAGGGGGACTGTGAATCTTAATGAAAAGCAGTCCTGTCACCAGAGGGCACTCATATGCTTTATTTTTGATCACCACTGCTTTTATATTTTCAACATGATGATGTTCGAGCTCCAAACTAGCGTCGCGCTATCGCTTGAGTTGGGAACTGCCATATCATAATTATTCCCTTTTTGATTTATGGTGTAGTAAGTACACTATATTGGCAAAAGTATTGGGTAACCTCCATGGTAACACCTTTTGGGGGCTTTTTAGGCTCCGGTGTGGAATCTCCGCATCATAAATCCATAGACACAGCAACAGTTTCTTCCTCCTTTGCAGGACAAGGTTCCACCCACTTTGCAACACTTTCAGACGCATTTCTGAACATTTCTGTGGCAATTTTTGTCCATTAGTCGGAAGAATACAAGACCGTTCTAGTTTACCCTTCAGTTGTTTGATGGGGTTCAGATGAGGGCTGCTTCTTCCTTGCTAATCTCATCCAACCATACTTTTATTAACCTTGGTCTGTGTACTGGGACCCTGTGTACAGAAAATGGCCTTCCAAAAATAATTCCCCTCAAGTTAAAAGTATCAGATAGATTCGAATTGGGTGTTGCTGGACGATCTTCCATTGAGCAAATCCCTCGGTGTAATTTCCACACGTGCCCACTCCTCCACTTGTTAGCTCCTCCACTGAGGTTGGAACTTTGTACTTATTTCGTGTGACCGACGATCTTGCCCTCTGACTTCTCGTGGAGTTTTTGTTCCTAAAACACTTCCATCTTGTAATGAGACCACTTGCAGTTCATCAAGAATATCTAGCAGGGAAGACAAGTCCCCAACTGACTCTTCGCAAAATCGGCCTGCTTCATATTTAATCATCAAATTCAGTTTAGCTCTTTGAAGCAAACCCACATCTCCTTCGACATGCTGTAATCCAATACTTTTGTCCATTTAGTGTATTTCACATCTTCCTCATCAGTTTTGCTCAGCGATAATCCAATGGCGGTTATAATATCCGATATTTACTTTTCAAAATAGATTGCAATCCATGTTTTTTGGGGGGGAACTCTATTAAGCTAAATTTCACTCTCAATGGCTCCGCAAAATGGTCCATTATTTTCACTCCCCGACAAAGCATCGCTCTTGTCGCCGCCATTGAACTGCCTCGTATAGCGGCTGGTCTCAGGCCCCGAACACATAAATGAAGGAGGGAATGAGAGTTTAATGGCCAGCATCCACACACTGCTGCAGCCGCTGGAGAACGCTGGCAGCTGTGAGATTGGTCCTTTCGGCCCAGATGGAGTGACCTTGTTGGTTTTCCACCTTCCACAGGCTCCCTGCAAATGCTTCTCCTCGTCCCCGCTCTACACTCCCCAACCCCCCCTCCCCACATTTCTGTGTTTGAACACACTGGACTCCAGACCCTTTTCATTTACTTGCTTTTCACCGGGCTTGGAAAGCTGTCTCCTCATACACTCTACTAATGTGTCTCACCTACTTAGCCATGTGGTTGCTCAACCTCTTTTCCTGTGTGTATGTTGTACGTGTGTCTCTCTCTCTCTCTTGCTCTCACACGCTTTTTGGTGTTTTTTTCCTCTGCTTGTCGTTGCTCCCTGTCTCTCTCTCTGTCTCTCTCTCTCTCTCTCTCTCTCTCTCTGTCTGTATCCTCTCTCTGCTGCCATACCTCTGCATCCTGTGTCTCCCTTAGTGGGGCAGTGTCAGGGTGTCAGAAGGGGGCAGCGACTGGGCATGGGGATGATGGGGGTGGGCCTTATCACAGTGACAGCATGAAGAGCATGACGACGGAGGGAGCCAAGGCAGGGAGATGGCAGGCCGTCCAGGGCCACGTGCAGTCTGGAGGATTCAGACCCAGCAAGTGAGTTTCACCTGACGTGCACCAAGCAACGAGGCGCGTCAAACTGTCGTGTAGAGCTCAGGGTTTTGCAACTGATTATCATGAGTGGCTTTCGGCAACTACTGATGCGACAGGTTGAAATGCCATATCGTATCACGTGAGCTTTCACAACAAAAGCTACATTTCCAGGTATGAAGCAAGATCCAGTCGACCACTGTCAAGTTGTACCAATACAGTATATACTGTATATCGTGTGTTTTACAATATTATATATACAGTGGAACCTCAACCAGCTACCCCTTTCACAAACCTTTCACGTTCCGCACAAAATTTTTGTTGAAAAGCCGCCTCTAGTCACGTACATGTTTTATTATGTGAACCATCTAGGTATGGATGAACGCACAGCTCTATGTTGTGCGCTGTCCCGATATTTAATCATTTTTGGCTCAGTGTAACTTATTGCGATAGTTGTGCTGTTTTTTTTTTTTTACAGCTCAAAGGCTGTAAACGCCCGAAACCCACCGCCCACATAAAACATGCTGTCTGCTCCATGACGGCAGATTGATTGAAAGGTGTTGTATGTGCAGCTGAACGTTTTGCTTACAGACACGCCTCTTTCAGTCACATGTCTAATTTCTGATAAACGTGGCAAAAAAGGTTTGACACGATGTATGATATGTACAATATGTACAATATCGGAGGGTCTCTTACGTTGAAAAAAACAACAACACTCAATGTCTGCAAGTTACGCCTCCACACATGCTTCTTCCCATCATAATTCTAACAGTAATAATAATATGTTTATAAGGAATGAAATAAGTCAGTAACTTAAGGTACAGCTGTATTTTAATAGACACTTGTGGCTAAGAAGCGAAACATGGAGAGTCTCCGTTGCAGAAACACACGAATGCAGTGAATGAACTGAGTGATAATTGAAAACAGCCTCTCAAATACCCATATAACTGCCCTTAATTTCTCATTATATTATTTTATGTAATACAATATCACTTGAGAGAAATTCGTTTGTCGTTGAATAAAAAGTAATACAGTACAGTACACGTGGAGCCTCAAATCATGTTTTTTTCTCAATAAGAACCCCAGGGCGTCACAGTTCTTGTATAGGAGGGTCTGAGTCTCCGACAGTAACTTGTTTGCGATGGTACAGTCGCATTCGCCCGTGTAGCTTGCCTTATAATCTGCAAAGAGGACAGCTCTGTTTGCATTTTTAAAATCATCAGCAGCTACTGTATGTTTATTGTTCTGACAAAGCAGGTCAATTTCAGCAGGGAGCGAAGTGGGGCTCAGGCGCCAAGGTGAGCGTGTGAGCGCAGCTCTTGATGTGAACCCAATAAGACCTTGAGCTGACACCACACTGACTCAAGTCTTTCGGCTCCGCTGCACACTGTAACCAAATTGGGACTGCGCTGCCTTGCGAGTGCTTCGACTAAAACGAAACACAGAAAACTGTAAATTCCACACAATGGCTCAAATGATGTGTCATCCATCTGGCGCCGAGTTAATGTGGAGTGCGTTATTTCACTCTCCCGTGACGTATGACATCACTGAGACGCTATATTCGGCTCGTACGAGGTTGTTAATTTTCAGCTGGGCGTGATTTTTGCACCTTCCTTTGGCACCTTGTGATTTTCTTCCAACACAACACATTCATGTTCGTCACTACCTCATCCTTCATCTGCTCAATTCCCACCCCCACCACCCACCCCCGTCCTTTCGTTTTACCCCTTCTCTATAATTGGTTTCTATTTTCGGGCATCCATAAGAGTCTCTGTGTCTTGTGTTTGTGTCTCGCACCCCATTTTCAGATTCTCCGCCATCGTCACCCTCTGCTGTTATCGCTCTCCATCTTACCGTTTGCCTGTACGGCCACTCCTACCAGTCTATGATTCCGGTTTCATTTTGACACAACCTCATATCACCCATTTTATCTCTTATGTGCGGCCATTAAATATGATTAACGGCGCACCGAAGACCAAAATTGCAAAATAACATCGGGTGAAGTATTGCGAAGCGGAGTAAAGTGAGGTGAATAGCTCTCATGACCTAATTCAGGTAGTCTGGGAAATGCAGTCAGCTGACGCTGGAGGATATATTTAGTCGACAGCCCCCCCCCCCCCCAAAAAAAAATGCACAGGTTAGTTTCATACTTATGAGTACATAAGATTATATGTCACACAGCTTTATATTCATCAGTGCCAAGACAATCTTAAAAGGGGAGTGGAAATGAGAAGTTGGCAGAGGGAGGGAGACATAATGTAGGCCTTGGTTGGCTGATGGGTGTCTCTAGAGAAGCAGCTTGTGTTTAAAAGACCCAAAAGGAGAAAGGATGAGAGGCTGTCAGATAGTTTTCACTCGTGAGTGGAGAAAAATGAGGATCTCTCATCAGAGCAAAAAAACCTCACCGGGAAGGCCCGGAAGCTGCAAAGCTACAAGCCAAACGTCGCAGAGACGTCCCGCGCTCGTTCGGACTCGCCGCATTCGATCGCCACCGCCTCGAAATACTCTTTCACGCAAGCAGCACGCTCACGGTGGGCAGACACGCAAGCTGCCCTTGCACGTGACACCGGCGCGCAGGGCGAGCGCACAGCCGGCGCACGGCTGGCTGACGCTGGCGTGCGACCAGCAGACGGCACACGGCGCTCACTCGGGTTGCACCTTCTACTGCTATTTCTGCTACTGCTGCTACTGCTGCTGCCTCACGTTGCTCTCCTTGTCTCTCCTCCTCCTCCTCTCTCCACTTCCCCATGATCCGCCCTCTGACTCCTTCCCCACCCATCCTTCCGCTTCCTCTACCCCCTTGCCAACATCAACTTCCTGTGTTGACGAACTTTCGATCCATCCTGACGTCAACCTGACGGTTTCTGCCGCGATTTCCTGCTGCCCTCTGTCACCTTGCCGCACCTCTGATGGTTCTGTCGCTCTCCACTACACATCCTGCCCTGAACAACTCACTCCCTCCTGCCCTAACACCTCTCCTACTTCCTCTTCCGACTCCTTCTCCTTCCATCGCCATGTCCTTTGCCGGCCGTGGCCATCTTCTCGTTCTCTTTCCTCCCTGCTCCTCTGCCCTCCCAGCTTTGGGGATCCGGTATTGTCCTACGCGTCCACTCTGGAACACATTCCCACTGGGCCGACTCGCCCTCGGACGCTGCTACGCCAGCAGAGTCTCCAACAGCCCCTCATGAACCCGCCGGGCTCTGGATTTGGCCATCCGCCCACCACATCCCAGAGTTTGGGACAGTTACACACAGCACCTGGACATCCTGGGGGAGGCGGGGCTGCTGGGAGAGGAGAGGCAGGTGGTGGCGCCGGCGAGGGCGGAGGTGCGGGTAAAAGAGCTGTTCCACGGACCGCACGAGGCAGCCCCGCAGGAGCGGGCGCCACTCGCTATAGAGGAGGCGGCGCAGGAGGGCGCTCGCGTGCCAATCCGGGCAGTTGGGATTACATGATGGACCAGATCCGGAATCGCGGTATGGACGTCAAATCCTTCCTGTGAGTATTTGCCTCATCGTGTTTGAGGAATCTCCTCATCCGTTGGCCCGTTTTATGAATGCGAGCGTGTGTAAATAAGTCTGAATGTAATGCGCAATTATGATATGACGTTATGATATTTCATTACTGACTAATTCTTAGCTCTACAATATGTCTAAGCATGTGAATTATTCTGTTTTAATTTATAACTGAGGTCCAGGGAAGGATATTACATCTTGCACTGTGCCCACTGACTTACCGTATGTCGGAGGTCGGCAACACGCGGCTCCAGAGCAGGCATGCGTCCGACTCAGTGCCTTCTCTCTTCTCAATCGACTTGAGAGGCGTTCAAAGACAGCCTCAGAAAAACGGAAATTAAAAATCACTTCACTGACACGAAGAAAAGCGAAAATAATGCGCCAAAACAAAAAATCAAGCGAGGAAATTACAAAATAAATTCTATGGGGGCGTTTGTGAACACACAACAAAGGAATGAACAACATAAACAATTCTGAGACAGTCCAGTCGCCTACATACATACAGCATGTGTTTCCTTCATAGCAAGTTTTATAGAAGGCTTTTATTTTTTTGTGGCGCCAGACATATTTGTTTTTGGTTTTTTGTTTTTTTTTTTGTCCTATATGCCTCTTTCAACATTTTGGGTTGCCGACCCCTGCCGTATGTGCATTAAATTTAGGTGGGTGTGAACGTCATTGGCTTTGCACCGGAACTTTGAGTAAAACATATTAGTCTTCATCATGTCACTTCTGTTGGGCTTCATACGTATACCATGCAAATTGTTGACGGATTAATTTGAAAGCAGATGATCCTGACGGTGGCGTGTTTGAAAAATCTGTAATATAAATGTTAATTCGACGTCGTTGACGGCGACAAGCATTGTTTTTGAGCTGGATCAACATCTCGTATTTGGCTGAGACAGGATATATCTCCCGCTGATGAAGATTACATTTTGTGTCAGAGATTTTGCGGTATGCAAGAGGAGGGGTGGTTTTTGATATCTTTTATGCAAATACAAAATGATGAATGGTAACGTGATTAATGAAATACTTAGACATGTTAATGCATGCGGCCTTGAGCAGTAATGACTTGAAGTCTATTGCACTGTTAATTATCGAGCAATATGTCAATATTGCTTTAAATTAAATTCCACAAAGGCTTGGAAACTGGTCAGCTACTTTCAGCCGCTGCTTTTTTTACTCCCTGATAAAATGTCCAGTGTTTACGCTGCATGCTCTGCTAAACAGTAACATCTGTTCAGCCCGTCGAGCGCAATTGTCTTAACAGGACAGTGTCACGAGTTTACAATATTCATGAGGTGTCACTGAGACTCTCTATATTTTATATTCATACGGTCCCATTCGCACACAATGTTATTTCTGCGCCGTCCCTTTGAATGACTATTAAATGTTGGGTTGGGGGGGGGGGTGTACAGAAGTAGGCCTAATCCATATTTTATGAGGTGTGCAAACTAATATTGGTCCAGCTTTTTGGGGCACTTGCTCACTTACGTGCTAATAGTAAACCCGGGAGAATGGTTGGGCTGCTAAGATGCTGCCATGTGTCTGCAAGGGCGCATCAGACAGGCCATGTGTCACTGCGCATCAGGATAAGTGCAAGTGTTAAGCAGCTGAAGCATTGATTTGATGTCAACAGAAACCATTTCGTCTCCAATATATTGTTACTTCAGCCCATAAGAGGGTGGAGTCACACGGGGGAGGCGGGGTGACGAAGGCATGAGGAAGGACGCTGCCGAGATGCAACATTCAATATCTTTTTTGTGCCTTTTGCGCTGATTCTGTGCTAGAATGTTTTTTTTTTTTTTTTTTTAAACATTAGTCTGGCTTTTTTTTTAAATGTAAAGTTTAAGGATGTGCGGGAATGTGAGAGTGACACAGCTGGGCTTGGTGCCTTCAGCACAATGAGCATTAGCAATGTAGCACATGCAAGCACCAAGGTCATGGAGTGAAAAGCCTGTTATGGTCAACTCATCATGTAAATGTGAGGCAGGGGTCATGATTGTTGCATTTTCTCGACAAGAGCAACACCTCAGATGATTGATGATGGAGCAGTGAAATAGGAAACGCAAGCCAATGTTCGAGTACGTTCATTTCAATCGCTGACAAACAGGTGAACCATTGCTGAGTGAAATTGTCAACGTCTTTGACTCATGCACGTCTCGTCTTTGAGCTGTTTTACCAAATGCATCTCCGGGGAGATACAACAGCGTTTTAGCCTTTAGTCAATAATTTGTCCCGGTGTCATTCATATCCATCTCACTTTATCTTCCTTTACTTTCAGAGATGTCAGTTCAAGTGCTTTGCTGAAGTGTAAATGCCTTCATCAACAAGCAATGGGGGAAGAGGAAGCCAATAACTATTCATTCTACTGTGCACACACTGTACCATTGTATTGAAGGGTGCACAGCAAATAAAAAAAAAAAAAAAACAGCTTTTTAAAATAATGAATTTCAGGGTTTGAATTTTGGCTCAGGCCTTCACGTGTAGTTTGCATTCCTTCCGCGTGCTTGCTTGGGGGTTTGTCTTCCGCTCCTGCACCTTCATGCAAGTTCAATGAAGACTCCAAATTGTCCGTAGGTGTGAATGTGGTGAGTGCCAATTGTTGTTTGTCTATATGTGCCCTGCGAAGTCCGCTGTGTTTGGCAGCAGCTGTTCCGAGATCCTAATTGGGACAAGCGGATAGATGGATGGATGAATTGGGAAGAAAAAAAAAAAGAAAAGTTGAAACGACAATGATTAGCCCTAAATGGAAAGTCAATGTGAACACAAGGAGCCTGTCAAAGGAAAGTGTGACTATTTTTCAGAAAGTTTTTGGAACTAATTAATATGTTTGTCCCGAGCATTTGGGTGTTATTCGAACAATTATTTTGGGTTGATTATATTTTGATGAGTGATAGCTCATACGGATGTTGGTGGTTCAGAGGTTAAGGAGCAGTTATTTGATTTGATGAGAAAATGCTGGGAAACTCATATGATTAATGTAAAAAAATTTGTTAAACCACATAACCTTTGCGGTAAAAAATATCACAATTGGGTCACTGTAATGCCAGTTCACAGCACAGCCATTTATAATCCTTTCGCTTTTTTTTTTTTTTTTAGGTTGTTTCTGAAGTTCGTTGGACAGATTTGGGTTACCACTTTTAAAAGTTTTTTTTAAGTGAGCAACGTGGGGCATCTTTGGTGAACAAGCTATGACTGGGGATGTGCCTTCATCTCCAAGGATGACAGAAAAGGTGGGAAACTGCCGCGATGTGTGTGCAGCGAAAGATGATTAACCACCTTAATCGTTTTGTGAGAAAAGCTCCGAATTGCATGTAAGAAAAGCAAAATTGCAAAGCAAAGGGGGGATAATATTTTTTACGGTCTTGACAGTAGCGTATTTTCTCAGCGGTGGTACAGTAGCGGCATCGGCGGCTTAAGCTATAGAAGCGTGGGTGCGTGTGGCAGTTGGCGGGGAGCGATGAGCAGGCGGGATGGTTAAGACGAAGGGGATAGGGATGCGAGGGATTTGCGGGAGGAAGTCTGGCTCAATAGTGAAGTGTGTGGAGGAGTGCAGCGTGGCGGGCGAGAGAGCGCTGACCCAGAAAGCGGCGACACGCGCCGAGCACCTCTAGACGCTATGTCACTCAAATAGAAACAATTAGTCCAGATCCTTGTAATGAGGCTTAATTTGACCTAACTGGCCAAAGTCGACGGCAGCCATGTTGGCTGGGAGGACATGTTTGGCGAAGATGTGCACCTGCGTGGATATTGCGTGGATTTGAACCACTCACTAAGTTTACCTTAATGAGTTCATGTCTGTGTGAAGTTACCCCTTTCATGCCCCCTGTAACTTGATAACATGATAAGATGTCCACTGTAGTCCACACTGTCCCTGAAAGGTTTAAGTTTCTAATTCCTGCCACAAAGACACTTTTCCTCTTAATTTTTTTTTTTTTTTTTAATAGCAGGGTTATGAAGAAAAAAAAAGTTCACCAAGCACAAGCCAAAGATTACTTAGAGGGGCTTTTGGGGAGGTCATGCACATCCATGCCAAGGCCCCTTCTGAGAAAGAACTCCCTTCCTCCAATCACCATTGGACAACTCCGTGCAACACCGACGTGGAAAGAGGAGTTTAGAACATTCAGGGTCAGCTTCCACCATCCCAGTTCCATCCATCCATTTTCTGATCCGCTTTATCCTCACAAGGGTCGCGGGGGGGTGCTGGAGCCTATCCCAGCCGTCTTCGGGCAGTAGGTGGGGGACACCCTGAACCGGTTGCCAGCCAATCGCAGGGCACTCAGAGACGAACAACCATCCGCGTTCATACTTACATTTAGGGACAATTTTTTGAGTGTTCAATCAGCCTGCCATGCATGTTTTTGGAATGTGGGAGGAAACCGGAGTACCCGGAGAAAACCCACCCAGGCCCGGGGAGAACATGCAAACTCCACACAGGAACCCACAACCTCTGCACTGTGGGGTCGACGGCCTAACCACTCGACCACTGGGCCGCCCCATCCCGGTTGAGATATTTTAAGCAGTAAGTTGATTCATTGATTCTTAATTTCCCTTCTAGTCCACGAAGGAAATTTCGTCCATTGCACATAGCTAGTTCAGCTATAGCAGAGGTTTGCGGTTGACTGAGTGCCCTAATTATTCACTTTTAATTTGGGTTGCATTTCAGGTTCGTTAATATCCTTCCCTGGACAGTGTTGCTGTTCTCTAACGTTGCAAAGTTTCTCTTAATCAGCATTTTCTTTATGATGGTGACTCGTTCCTTCTGATAAGGTCCAGAAATGTCATGTCACAGTGCTGCTGTCTGCCCTCACCTTAACTGATGTCTCTTCTCTTCTCCCCCTTCACTTGTGCCACATCTTCTGTTCCACGCTTTTGCCACACTTTGCATCTCTTCTCGTTTCTTTCTCTTCCCGTCTACGTGTGTCTCTCTTATCTGATTTTTGTTTTCTGGGGAGCCAGTGAAGGGAAGCTGGTGGTCCTATCTTTGGCCATCGGTGTGGCCGAGCAAGACGACTTTGCCAATATCCCTGACCTGCAGGAAACGCAGCAGCAGACAGTCCCGGCAGCCGGTCAGGAGCCACCCCTCGAGAAGAGGTACCAGAGAACGTTTGAGAGTGCGTGAAGTGTGTGTGTGTTAGGGAGAGTGCGGAGGATGGCAAATGACAGAAAGGCAAGGGTTCGATCTCGAAGAACAAGCTTAGCGAGGAGTTCTGCAAGCCAGCTAGAGGAGAGTCGGGGTTTTCTCGTGGTGAATCACGACACTTAAATGTTTTGTGATAAAGACTGTCGCTGGAATACCACCGCAGATAGACACCGACATCAAAAGAGATGATAGGGCAACCACACGCGGGGAAAAAGATGGCTGCCAATTTGACTTTTTTTTTTTTTTACTGGCTGATAATCATCTCCTGTATCACAATGACATTCTCCTCCGTGTTGTCATTATCTTTGTTGCTTGCCATTTCACTCCTGTCACCCCCTATAGTTAGCACATTTCCTTTGTATTTTCACGCTTTTATTATTCTAGTCTCTTCTCCGCTGCCTTTTATTTTTATTTTTATTTTTTTTGCCTCATGCTCATTAGCTGCCTTCAATCACCCTCTGCTGCTCGGAGAGATCCGTCTGTGTAGCTCCACCAAGGGCCCAGAGTGCCTTCTCATTATTCCACAACATGTTGGTCGCTTACATAAATATGCTGCTAAAAATAAACCCTTTCCTTGCCTGCCACCTCCCATACGAGAAGCCAAAAGATTTGCACTCATCTATGAGGACCCATTACAGTCATCTCCCAAAATATTGTTTTTTTTTGCATTCTATACAGTGTGTGTGTGTGGGGGGGGGGTGTATGAAGCATTTACAAATTACAACAGTGGTTTGATCTTGTGAAACAAAACGCTCAAAGCACACTGCGCCTCTGTTGTGCATGAGTGTGGTCAGTTTTACAGCATTTGTACCCTCTCTGAAGCACAGTGAAATCCAATACTTGGCACAAGCAGCGCACGTTTGATTTCCCCCGCTGGCCTATTAAATCTCTTTTTAACCTCACTTCTGATTCTGTGACAAATTGGAGACAATTTGGAGATACATGATGTGACACGCGCCTTGAAATGGCGTCGACGGGTGAACAAATTTTGGTTATTCGTCACACCAATTATGTCTCACTCGCAGGTGTTTCATCAGCGTGAGACCTAGAAGACAGGAAACGCAAACTCTTTTACAAGACAAAGGTGTCTTATCGTTCGCACGCAGCTGTCGGACAACACGATGGCCGTTAGAATGCCAACATGGCTTCAAATGGCTTTTAGCAAAAGGCAAACACTCTCTGACTTTAATAAGGACCTTAAGTGCTTGCAAAACTTTCCCGTGACATTTTTTTTTTCCCTTTGGGTTCATTTAATCCTGCAAATATGAAAGTGTTCTTTGTGAAAGAAAACCTCTTTTATGAACATCAAAAACTATCTAAGTTGCCCAGACTCACTATGAAATTCAGCCACAGAGAATGACCCCACCCCGCCTTTCTGCCATTTCCTGCATATTACGTCCGGCTTTTCCAGCCATTGTGCTCACCTGGAAACTTCCTTTAATGGCTCGCGAAATCCACTAATAGGACCAACAAAAGACAGGCGCGCTACGGCGACTCTGTGCTCCAGCACAAAGGCTCAACCGCTCACCTTGATTTGCTGTGATTGAGTGCGCGGAGATTAACCCGAGGTTCATGCAATTTCTTGGAAATGGACTAAAAAAATTGGTAAAGGACTATTTAGCTACACTGAAAGAGTTTGAATGTCATCACATTTTGCCGAGCTCCTGTGCGGTCCCTCACCTGTGTTGTTCACTAATTCCACCCGAGCTCCCGATTGTGTAGTTTGTCTATTGACAAATTACAAGCCGAAGTGTTTTAATGAGTGATTTAGCCACACTTTAATTGGATGCTAAATAGAGAGGCTGAAGTGAAATCCGCGGCGTGTTAGCAACGCTCAGTCAAGTTTATGATTCCCCGCAGCGTTAGTGCTGACTTCACAGATGTCCGACCATGATCGAATCGATCAAGGTTTTTGGCATACTGCTTATTCTCATCTGGGAGCTGCCTCGAGCTGGAGACACAGCAGCAATCATTTTTATTTTCACTCTCGCTCTCTCATCAAAAAAATGGTGTATTTACATCAAACATGCCCTTCATGTGCCTGTCACAGACAGTATCCATAAAATGTAAATGGATCCAAGTATTGAGAGCAATAGCATCATAAATCCCGAATGAATGGCCCAAAACTGAACGAAACAGAGACTCGTGGAGAAAGCCTTTCCCAACTTTCATCGTCACATTTTCCTCCTATGTTCATTTCCTGTCAATGTCCCCGTACTTTTGTCCGTATGGAGGAATATCAGTCTATCTCTGTCTACTCTACAAATTTGCGTAACAATCTGTCAAATAATAGCAAAGACTTACTAAGCATTTTTGGGGTTATTGGACACCCACATCTGAATATTCTTTAAAATGTCAGCGCTTAAGTACAGCAATTTATTGAAGGTTCAACCAAACAAGTGGCGCACATTTGAGCAACTTTCCCATCCGATTTATTATCATTCATACGAGACTCAATGTCCAATTAGCTAAACCACAAAATCAATATTCTACATTGAATTGAACTTGCTAATTAATAACATGTCTATATTTGATCTCGTGATGGAGTATTTCTTGACACTCTTAACCCTGCTTATTAATCAAGCGTACATGCATGTAAAGTATCAAAGGGTCAACCAATCCGCTTCATGGGCCTTCTCCTTGCCCTTCAGCGGGCATGCTAACGCTTAATTGTTCCTTTGCTGTGCTTGAAAGCCCGCCAAACAAACACGGCATCGTCCCCGCCGGCCACAAGAAGCTGATATAGGCCGCAACATTCATTCGGCACTGTCACCTACCTTGTGTATGTGCGATCACACGATAAAAATGCGATAAAAGCTTTCTGAGAAACCATGAGTATATGAGGCGGAGCTTGGGCTGACAAACACTTTTCTAGATGTGCTCGAGAAATGCGAGGGCCGTCGATGTGATTGATTGCGCGACAAAAGAACACATGAGAACAGTCGGGCTGGAAAACGGTCTCTGATTGGAACCAAGCACGCTGAGATATTTACGGTCAGACACGTGCATCCATAGGCTGTTGATATTCAAAAGCTTAATTCGAAACTTAGCGTGGCTTGTTAATGCCTCATTGGTCCTTACTCATACAATTCTGTTGCGATTCAGTGAACCTATACAGTACAGGCTCCTCCAGTGTTGCCATAAAGAGAAGCCGCATTCCCCAGGAGCTTTGAATCGAGATCTCTGAGTGAGCAGCGAGTCGGCCACCCAATGAAGATGCAGATTCGGGACAGGGGAGGCGGAACGTATACTTGTGCCGCATTAACATTCAATCCACTTGCCTGTGGCCTTTCAATTATTCAAGCATGGATGTTGCATCATTTTGTGTAAGCCAGTGGAGACGTTGCTTCTTTTAGAATACATCCGGGAGATATTAATAGATATAGATGCAAATTTCCATGCCTGAAAGATGGCATGCATTCTGTGAGAGTGTCTTTTTATTGCCAAGCATATATAATGTATTATATATTACATGAGAGCATGACGCTTACTTACTGTCAAGTTCTGGACCGAACCGAATAATGTTTTTGGATTCCAGAAATGCAGACTCAGACAAAGTGCGATCACAAAATAATATATATATATATATATGACAGAAAAGCGCACCGACAAAGTACAAACTGAAATCGCTGATCACAAGGAGCCAGGGAAAAAAAAAAACAATGCATTAAAAAAAAAAAAAAAAAAGCTCGCAAAGGCAAGAACAGTGAGAATTCACATTAATTAAATATCAAAAGTCCAATAATGTGAAAAAACAAAGATCAAGATTGATAAAAAGAAATCATGAAAAGACTTGCAAAGATCTATGACAAAACGAGAGCGATTATGAAATATCGAAAGGTCTAGAATACAACACTTTAAACACAAGCGTGAGCAAGGTCAATTGTCCGACAGGAGACGAGGCAGCTTTGCAGTCAAATACATGGCAAGGCCTGATGATGAATTAAGTGGAAGTGGAACTCATTTTTTACATTCTGCCCGAAAAAAAACTGACATATCAGCCCATATCCGCGAAAAATAAAAGTAAAAATAGACCTACTCACATTGTGATATGGGGCAGTATAAACCCTGTATAAATGAAACTAAGGCATGCCACCTAGTGGTGATTGCTGATATTACACCTTAAAACTCTAGTCTCCCCCTGCATATTGGACTTGAATATTTTTGAATTTATTTATTGGATTTCCTTATTTTTTCTAATATATTATTATTATAATTTTATTTTGGATTTTTTCCAAGTTTTGAGGTCGAAATTGTCCCGCATTTAACCCATTTCCAACGGAAATTGTCAACGGTATTGAATATTTATTCGCTTTTTAAAAAAAAAAAAATTTTAAAGAAATGTTGGTGTTTGGAAAAAAACAACAACAACACAACAATTCTGAAGAAACTTTTCAGCTTTAGGTGGGTGGTGGGGGGGGGGGGGGGGGGGGGGGGGGGTGTAGAAAATAAATCAAGGGGCCACTCAGCCCATAGGCCACTAGCTTCCCCATCCCTGCACTCAAGTGAGCGCTTCTACCGTCGAGGTACTTTGCGAATCACCGGATTAGACTACCTTGACACTGTGTGCCTCGTATCACAGGAGCTCTTCAGGCCTAACGAATCAGTCTTCTCTCCAGGCGTGCTGATTAAGTTGGCCCCTGAACCTTCCTATCACTGTGCCTGCCGTTCATATCTCCTGGGGATGCACTTTCAAGCATTAACGCACGTATCAAATGAAGGCGAATTTGAGAAAAGGCTTCCAAATCGATGGGTTGCGTTCTTACATTCACACGGCATCCGCCTTCCAGTTGAGCAAATCGGGGGGGCTGTGCATTGCGTGATGGTGGGCCCGACAGGAGGTATGAGGCTGGTACACATGTGCTCCTCCAATAAACGGACGGGGAGGCGAGCAATTAGGAGCTTTAAGATGTTATTCAAGCCTGTTGTGCCTCAGAGCAGGTGGCTCATTTGCCGCTGCCTCCACCTCAGAGTCAAATCTACCATTTCAATCTGCATTCAAAACATTTAGGCGGCTGCGTGATTGCAGTTTGAGTGAACCTTTAAAAAAAAAACGTCATTCAGTAGCTGGGAGACAAATTAGAGACAGGATTGAAAGGCGCTGGATTGTTATTGATTGTCTGGACAGTTAGCATTGGACAATCTGATCCTATTCGCCATGGCGGCTGAAGTTCAATTGACAAGCGTGATTTTAAAAATTGCGCAACAGCATTCTCTGTGAATGAGGCAGACAGGCGGAAGACGACATTCACTCAGTGCCTCCCGTGTTGCCTCTTCTCCAAATTGGATTTCAGCAGACGTTGCTATTTAAGTCACGTTTCCGGCCTTGACACACAGGCAGCGATTAGTTAACAGTGAACGCATACGAGTTTTGGTCAGGAGGGGCGTTCAAGCAAGCAGGGACGACCGGCCGAACGTTGATGCGGATGACGAGTTATGTGAGCGTTGCTCTTGCTGCGACGGCTTGATCCTCGGGAGTTTCCACGATGGCCCCCCCCCAAGCGCGTATCTGGGTTGGCGCAACACTGAGATTGAAAAACCTCATCGCATGGTCCCAGACGTGTTTGAATGTGTCTTGGGGAGGGAGAAAAACCAGGGGATTGGATTGGGCTTTGTTTCTCGCGTCTCTCTCCAGCCTTGAAGTGGAGTGTCTTTCCCCCCTGCCCCCAACCCCTCTTCGAGCTGCTGGCCCTCGGTCAGGTAACAAAACAGGATAGTATCACAGGACGGTGAAACCCACAGTGGCCCCGCCTGCCTCCACACGTGTGTTTGTGTGAACGTGTGTGTGTCTGCGAGGCTCTCACCCGTACCTGTCATATATCCTACAACTCTTTGTTCTCGTTGTGTTTGCCTGTTTGCCGCACCCCTCGTACCACACCTGCCCCCGTGCCCACTCCCAACTGCCTCTCGCGCACACCCTCGATCCCAATATGTATGATCGATGTTTCCAGAAGACGTTGCTATGCCAACAGCCCACTTTCTGAGCTGCAGGGGAGTCTGATCTGAACTCGAGTCGACTCTGCCGTCTGCTGGCTACTGTAGGACACTGCGGGGCTTTAACGCATCATCTCCATGAAGCCCCGTGGGGTCAGACCAAAATGCCATCGGCGCCGTAATACGTTGATTCATAGATTTTTCGGGGGGATTATATAAGTCTAAAACCAACCCTTATTTGAATTCATGATACACTAGAAGCCTTGGAGGACAGAAGTATTTCCTGCTACGAAAGTGCTGTCCCAGCCACTTTGTGAAAAGAAGCAGGCGGCAGCACTGGAGCAGAGGACCACCTGAGGCGCCGTAGAGCGGCGTGATCGGAAAGCCATTGCCCTGGTTGCAGGAGCTCCTACCCGAGAAGGCAATGAAGCCCCCCTGAGCGGAGCATGAAGGCGAATGAATAATTGAGGATGTTGACTCCCCCCGTCGATACTTGGCAGGTGGAGGACGAGGAGGAGGGAGGTGCCTTGCTTGACTCTAAATCCTAAGCATCGCTTTCGGCTTCAGAGCTCCCTTCATCTAAGTCTCGGATCGTGATTTAGAGCTCGAGATGCCCGTTTCGATCGCCTTTAACCTGTTGCCTGCAGTTAAAAAAAAAAAAAAATGAGAACGAGAATATAAGGCCCACTGAAAATGAAATGAGATCTCCTGGCAACTAATGCGACTAACGGCCGATTGATGACGACCCGCCTCACTCCTGGAATTGGTTAACACCCCGCCCCCACCTCGAACCCCCCTTTTCTTGCCCCGATTCCTTTGCTGGTCGAATCGAGTGTGATTTTGTGCTTGTGTCCTGTTTGCTCGCTTTTTCTGTCTGTCTTTTTGTCAGTATATTTTCCCCAGTTCTGTCCTTGTGTCTGCAAAAAAAAAAAAAAAAAAAAAAAAATGTACACATGAGCACATTTAACCTCTCCAAATTTGGTGGAAGAAGCCATGAAACATTTTCAATTTCAAATGAAAAAAAAAAAAACATTTTGACAGATGCTGGCCAGACAGACAGACTTGTTGTTTCCTGCCTGTCCAAGGCATTGCCCTCACTCCCTTGAGTGACACCTACTTGCATATGTCAAATATGCACGCGTAGCCAATGCCAGTTTGTGCTTTGGCCCTTGTGATCCCAGTCCTCACTTTTAGAGTGTTGCTAAACAGTTGGGAAATCAGGCTCGAATCAAGTTGACCTGACCTCATTTCAAGTAACACCCTCTTTTGTGACACTCTAAATGTGCATTTCCCGTTTTGACCCACGTATGACTTTTTTGACCACTTATTTCCCGTTCATATCAATCCCACGATGACGTCATCTTTCCTATTTTCCTTTCTGGTGATGATCAATTGGATTTTATTTTATTTTTCTATTTTTGTCATCATTCTCTCCCTTCAGCATGTGTGTCCCTTTGTCCACTGTTAGATTGTGTGTGCACAGTTCTTTATTTTGTTCTTCTTTGATACTTATCAGACTGACCAAACGAAGCCTCTCTTGTGTTTCCAGGCTTTCCTTCCTTCCTTCCTTCCTTCCTTCCTTCCTTCCTTCCTTCCTTCCTTCATTCCCTATCTTTTCTTGCAGCTTTTTTTTCTATCTAATGTGGTGTTTGTAACAATCTCACTCTGTTTTGTTTTTGCTTTTGTAACCTCACTGTTCATGCTATTAATACTTGCTATCTCTTCTTATACAGATAAAAACGATTTCCTACTTGCTTTTCTCTTTCTTACATCCCTTGTTGGGCTTTATCTGCAGTCTTTATGATTTCTGTCTTCAACCTTCTGCATCCTCTCATTTGATTTGTCTTTCTCACTTTTCTCTGTGGTTCTTCTCTCTCTCTCGCTCTCTCTCTCTCTCTCTTTTTTTTGTGGTCATATATTGCCTAACAGCCTTTCAGTGTTTAGCCTGTCCATGTATGGAGTGTTGTTTTCCAAAATGTCACATTTTATTGGTCAGGACATTTGGATATTCGGATCGTATGACGTGCTCTCTTTAATTTCATATCAACTCTCTTCCGTAATTGTATTGCCTTTGTTTGCCGTTTACATTCCGCACACCTTCTTCTCATGTTGTTGTATGAACTCAGAAGTGTTTTCTACCACAGTGTTTATTCCACCTTAATGTTTTCTACAGTCCCCATTCGAAGAAGCAGGTGTTGAAATGGATTCATATTTACAGTAAATATCAGCTCAGCCATATCAGAGCTCCGTTTTTTTTTTTTTTTAATTGAAAAGAAGATTTTGTTATTGATCACGCAGACCTCTGGTCGATTCAAACACACGACACAAAACGTCCACCGTGGTGTTAAATGTCAAGTGTTCTCCGTGTTGCTATACATGTTTGTCCTGTGTGTGTTTTTTATGTCTTGTTGCTTCTATATGTCGTTTTCTATGTGGGTCTCTTGTCCATGTACTCCCAGGGAACTCATGGTTGGCTACTGAATTGGTTTCGACAAATACAAATGTAGTGGTTCATTTTTTTTTTTCCAATAGAGTGTTTATTGACTTGCTGGCGGTAACTTTCTCGTTGGAGGGATGGATCTTTGCCACGGCGGACATATGCACATTTCAGATTCCAAGTCCCATCAAATGCAACGCCACACATCAAACGTCCTCCGTTCCAGCACCCGTTGTTAATCTGTGGATTTTTTTTTTTTTTTTTTTTTTTGGGCAGATCTGATTTGGCTGTTCTCAAAGAAAGCGAGAGAAAGCACAATCACCTTTGAAGTGACATCTATCCCAAACACAAATTTGGACTCAATTGGATGTTTGTAATAGGTAGTTTGCATGTGCCAAACAGGTGGAGGTTGGACTCAGACATTCTCTCTCTCTCTCTCTCTCTCTCTCTCTCTGGAGATGAGTTTGTGTGGGTCCTGTTGGTCAATGTGTGTTTGTTCTTCCAGGGGCAACAAGCCAGCCAACAGTCCCAAAGGCCAACCGCCCGATGCTGACGGCCATTCCTCCGTTACCGACCTGGCTAACTCCCTCACTGGAGACATGGTGATGGTAAGACCACCTCTCCCAGCGTACATACAACAAACGGTTTATACAAATGCACCTCTATGATTTAAGTCTACAAATGTTTTGCGGCGTCTTTCAACACCATATATTAGTCATGTCAGAACAGTTCCGGGACTGGTCAAGCAAACAACAGCAAGCATATCTGCAAAGTGGTCCTGCAGCATTTTCTTTCTGTTCAAGCGGTGGAGAAGAGGCAAGAGTTGTAGCAAGGGCATCTCGTGTCTGTGTCACCGTGACAACGGGCCCGCTCACAATGCCTTGAGCATCTGACGGTTCCTTACTCACCCAACATGGCTCTGTGTGATCTGTTTAATGTTTGCCAAGCTCAAGGGTGTCATCAAGTAAAACCGTTTTGAAGACATAGACAACATGAAGATGGCCACGAGGAGGGAGCTGTGGAGGGTTCTGAAAGAATCATTTCAGGAGTTCATTGTGGCATGGCAAAGAAGAATTAGAAAGGGCAATAGAATTCAGGGAGATTACTTCAAATGGATGAAATATGGCTTTCCTGACACCATTCCTGAAGCCTTTTTGACACATGACGTGTTATACTTTGATCAGATCATGAACTCATAAGATTTTTGAAATTTTCCGCCGCCGTTGCATGTGTTGTTTGTTTTAATTTGAATGTACTTGTGGCCCTTACAGCTATCTCCGGGTTCAGAGGACGACGACGGCGAGGGGCCAATCAGTGAGAAGCTGGGTCGGATCCAGTTCAGTATAGGCTACAGCTTCCAAAACACAACCCTGACTGTCAAAGTTCTCAGGGGCCAGGAGCTCCCAGCCAAGGACTTCTCTGGCACTTCGGATCCCTTTGTCAAAATCTACCTGCTGCCTGACAAGAAGCACAAGCTGGAGACCAAGGTCAAGAGGAAGAACCTCAACCCCCATTGGAATGAAACCTTCCTGTTTGAGGGTGTGGATTGTTTTCCTTAACATTTGTCACAGCTCACCCAGTCATTTATTCAGTGTCACAGTTTAAGTTACTGTCAGCCTGATAAAGTCATTGCATGATTCATAATCGTTTGATCAAAAGAAAAAAAAGATTGTACCGCCTGAGTTTATGTAGTGGAATTTTCTGGGGGGCTATTTTCTGTTCAATCTGTTTTTCCGTCATTATTTGTGCCCACCAGAATCCTGTGATCCTCATTATTAGCACTCGAAAGTCAATCGAAGATTCGTTTTGAGATTTCACTGACATGCGGCTGCACTTGTTGAGTCATGAGAATCATTGCACTTAACTCATTCACTCCCAAAGACGTTTTTAAACGTCTTTTCAGACTTGGTCCAAAATTGGCTGGTACTGAATGAGTTAAAAGTCGCCGACTGATTTGAGCGCTTGCACGCCAGCCCCGCAACTAAATAGGAATGCACGTCTCATCTTCTTTTGCCTGTGTTTTAGGTTTCCCCTATGAGAAGGTGAGAGAGCGCACACTTTACCTTCAGGTGTTGGACTACGACCGCTTCAGCAGGAATGACCCCATTGGAGAGGTCTCAATCCCGCTTAACAAGGTGGAGTTGGGTCAGATAAAGACCTTCTGGAAGGAGCTCAAGCCCTGCAGTGATGGCAGTGTAAGAGAGGGTCGGGGACAGCCACTGGGGTGCATGATGGCGATTCCATTCCAGTGTTTTCGTTGTCATTTTTCACTCGACATGCCAATGTCATCCACTTTCTACTGAGTCAATTTTATCTTCACCAACCGGTTGGTTCTCTGTGTTGATTAAATCGACCAGTGATCGTGGATTACATCATAGTGAGCAATCTGGAATTTGATATTCCCTTACCAAATCAGATATTAGTTGATAGATGATTCATGCCGCGCTCATGTGCGTGTGTGTGTGTGTGTGTGTGTGTGTGTGTGTGTTTTTGTGTGTGTGTGCGTGCGTGCGTGCGTGCGTGCGTGCGTGCGTGCGTGCGTGCGTGTGTGTGTGCGTGTGTGTGTGTGTTTCTCAGGGGAGACGAGGGGACTTGCTGGTGTCTCTCTGCTATAATCCCACTGCCAACACCATCACTGTGAACATAATCAAAGCCCGTAATCTCAAAGCCATGGATATCGGAGGCACCTCAGGTAGACTTTGCTTATTATTTGCTGTCTCTCTTCTGTCTCTCAGGGTGTTTTCACCCCAGAAAAGTCCTTTTGATCTGCCCGTTTGATCCGGACCAAAAGCGGACCTAATTTTTCACACTACACAGTGTACAGCTACATTCTGTAAACCCATCGACGCGTGTGACGATCGGTCCTTCCATTGGACAGAAATGACATTGTTGACATTGTATGTTGTTAGTGCTGCAAAATAATTTCGAGTGTCCAGAGCAGGTCATTCAATTTACGTTTGGCGATGTTATTTTTCCAAATTTTGTATCTGCGTCGTCAAATGCGTGCAGTAACCCGCAGGAGCGTGTGCAGTTGCGTGCTTTGACCCACAACATGCTGGCGGCGGCGCGGGTAAACATAAAGATGAGGGATCACCTATGATCAACATTCACTACGGGCTAATATTTCCCACGATGCCGGGCTACGGTGTCTTGTTAAGCCCAAAAAGTCGCTCATACCTGGTCGCCTACCAAACAGTGTCGGTGTGACTACACCCCAGCACTTGCTCAGCAGTCATGGGACCCCCAAGTGACGTTGGATTGTGTGACGTTGCGCAACACCTGCTCAACATTTATATATTCAGTGCCCCACTCTGTTCCAAGGACGCATATCACCTGGTTCCTAATCAGGTTCGCGCCATATTTGGCTGTGTAGCAAGGTGACATTACACCAAGTGTCTTATTTCACTGAAAAGGTTCCCGTGTCTTTGTCAAATTACAATTCACAACTCCCTAAAAAAAATAGAAAAGAGTGGGAATGCAAAGAAATTTGAAAGAACAAGGGAAACAATGCACACTACTTGTCTGTAAGATGCAGTAATAGTTGTTCTTCACAGAGGATAAAGGCTATGTGTTGATGTGCCATGATGTTATCTGGCTGCATTTGTTGCTCCACCTTTTGTGTTCAATTATTCGTTACTTACAGAGTTAAAACGCCTCAACACCGATGCTACAAGGTAGTCTGTCGATGGTATTTTGCAGCGTTTGTGCGGTTTTCCTAGTTTTCCTATGGTAAATCTCATATCAAATATACGGTATACTTCAACCGGTGGTGGCAAAAAAGGCCAAGTGAGTTGAGTCGACTGCCACCATATAGTGCTCACATCTCAATTTTTTATCCACCAATGAAAGCAAAAAAAAACCCTCAGAATAAAGCCACATATCTTGAAAAATCATAATGTTAGATCACTTGTATCTCAAGGGACCGTTGTATTTTGGTAGAGTCCTCTGATTGGACAGCGAATGAACACAGAATAACAAAATCACATCATAGCAAACGGAACCAACACGCTTTTGCCACATATGAGACCTTTCTTCTTCTCTGTGAAAGTTAGAATGCCCCCTCCCCTCCCCGAAGACAAATAACACTTCACCCTGCAAAAACTCGCATATTTGTCTTCCTTCAGTTCATTCTTTTGTTGTAAAATCAAATAAGTAATTGTACTTCTCTCAGTCATTGTATGTGAGCATGCATGACGTTAGCAGCACATAGTGCTATTAGCCCCCCCATGGGAGCTGTGGCCATTATAGAACCGCATTGGAGCTGTCTGACAAGACGCACTGTAAGTGCTTCGAAGCGATGCCATGGTATAATTTTCACAGCACTGCTATATAATCGTTACCAAAAATAATAAAATCCTTTCCATTCAAAAATGAGTGACAGAAGAACAATAATTGAAAATCTGTTTATTTTTCTGACAAAAAAAGCATCAGTGTGGATGCTTTTGTCTTTTATAGCGCTCACACCGCTCTCTGAACTGGCAGCACAGGCATGGAACCAACACGCTTTTGCCACATATGAGACCTTTCTTCTTCTCTGTGAAAGTTAGAATGCCCCCTCCCCTCCCCGAAGACAAATAACACTTCACCCTGCAAAAACTCGCATATTTGTCTTCCTTCAGTTCATTCTTTTGTTGTAAAATCAAATAAGTAATTGTACTTCTCTCAGTCATTGTATGTGAGCATGCATGACGTTAGCAGCACATAGTGCTATTAGCCCCCCCATGGGAGCTGTGGCCATTATAGAACCGCATTGGAGCTGTCTGACAAGACGCACTGTAAGTGCTTCGAAGCGATGCCATGGTATAATTTTCACAGCACTGCTATATAATCGTTTCCCAAAAATAATAAAATCCTTTCCATTCAAAAATGAGTGACAGAAGAACAATAATTGAAAATCTGTTTATTTTTCTGACAAAAAAAGCATCAGTGTGGATGCTTTTGTCTTTTATAGCGCTCACACCGCTCTCTGAACTGGCAGCACAGGCCTCGGCCTATCCGTCCGTAAATACGTGCTCAATTGGTTGTTGTCTTGCTTTGGGAATAAGTTGACCTTAAGCTCAAACTCGATTGCTCTCTTCCATATCTAAGCGATTTAGAGGGCCAAAGTGCAAGTACCCTTCCAAAACAAAAAAAAAAACACTTCATGGGCTTTTTCATCATGTACAGTAAACGGTTGCGCATGGCTTCCAATTTGCAGATCCGTACGTGAAAGTGTGGCTGATGCACAAAGACAGGCGTGTCGAGAAGAAGAAGACGGTGACGATGAAGCGCTGTCTCAATCCCGTCTTCAACGAGTCCTTCCCCTTCGACGTTCCCGCCCATGTGCTGAGGGAGACCACCATCATCATCACCGTCATGGACAAGGACAGACTCAGCCGCAATGATGTTATCGGCAAGGTAAAGTCTGGCTTTCGGCTTTGTTGTCGTTGCCCTTTATGATGACAGGAACGTGCCTTTCAGATTTTCGCCTCGGGTTAGATGCAAATGTAAATACGTCCAAAGTTTGGAGCGGTGATACAAAACCCTCATGAATATTTACAATCCACACATAGGCAGACAGATAAATATCATCAGTCATCTTCCCAGTCGCTTGATTGAAATAATGTCATACTTTTCTTTTTTTTTTTGTGTGTGTGCGCGTGAGACAACACTGCTGCCATATTTACGGCTTCTAAAGGATACGTGAATATGCTGACTTTTCTGGGGCAACTGTTGCTCGTTGGGGGTTTGGAATTAGGGCGCATTTGCATGCGGCAATTTCAATTATGAAAAGATTCGTGTTTCTTTTAAATGGAGTAAAACTGGAGCCGGAGACAGAGCCGTTATTATTTCGTAAATTAGTTGAACTATCGCTGACTACAGGTGACACCCTCTGCCGGCTCCAGACTTCAAAGGCAGTATAAAAGATGTATTGTAATGAACGTTCAATTTTTCAGAGTGGCACAAAAGGTGAAAAGGGGTGTCAAACTCATTTTTGTCATGAGCAACATCATAATTAGGGTTTTTTTTTTTTGGGAAGGACCGTTACGAAACCGAAAAAAATGTATGATTGCCTCATATTGCATCGACAGTACAACATATTAATGAATAACCACTTTTGAAATCAAAGACCCGTAAAAACAGTTTTTGTAAAATATTATCTATCTTGCTACGGCGGCGCTCTATCGTGAGACGTTCTTCTACGAGGTGGCTGAAGGTCTAATGAAACGACCTCTCTTCCCTGCCTCCTGTTAGATCTACCTGTCATGGAAGAGCGGTCCAGCGGAGGTGAAGCACTGGAAAGACATGCTGGCCCGGCCGCGCACCAACGTGGCCCAGTGGCACGCTCTCAAGGCCTGATGGCACCGCCCACCTTCCTCCATGGCCCCTCCTTTCCCCGCACCCTCTCCTCCCGCCCCCCCCCAGTCCCGTCTCCTTATGCACAAGACTGACTTGCTGCCAGGCCGCGAAACACGGGTACAATTAGCCATCTGCTCTCTTAAACCTTTAAACTCTTTTCTCTTGCTCCTTCTTGTCCCTCCTTCGCGTACGCTCCTTTCCTCCACGTCTGTTTTGTCACCGCTTTGTCCGCGCGTCCCCTCTCTCCTCTTTTCGACCGCCCATATCTCCTTCTGCGCTTTGTCTGTGGAGGGCGGCCTAAGGTTTTGTTTCGAAATGCGGACCCCCTTGGTTCCGGAACTGCACTGCACTGCACTGCAGCCGCTGACCCACTGAAGGTGCCAGTCCCGTGGGATCACAGAGAATCTTAAGTGATACATAATATAGTGTAGAATAATTCCAGGAACACAATACTATCCATTATGTACTGTATGTACATAAACATGAATAGATTAGGCGAAATAGATCCCCCTCCCTCCCCGCAAAACAAATACCTGTTTCCCTTCATTCGTCTCCAATGTACCGTATCTTGCATTATGTTCCTCCCTCCTCTTACTTACACTTAGTGTGGTTTAATATTTGGCTTGAGCCATAGAAAGCAATCAATCTTCGTTTTTTTTTTTTTGTTTTTTTTTTCATTTTTGATGAAACCAGCTGAGTTCCAGATGGTATTGTTGATACTCGTGTCTCTCTCCTCTTTTCTCCTCTATTCCCTCATTTCCTCTTTATTGTTCCCTCTTTCTTATCCCCTGGCACGATATTAGGGGCCCCCTCTCCCTCCCAACTACCCCCCCCCCCGACAAACACCACCCTCCCTTTGTCGTCTGTGTGCTGTGGGTGCTGTGCTGTAGCTCCAAACAAAAATAGAGGTTAAAAGACATACTGTACATGTACTGAACTTTCCGAAGCTGGGAAAGCGGGCACACGATAAAACCCATACGACGGATCACTCCTGATTTTTTTTTCCAGACAATAAGCCCTTGACACGGAGAGAGAAAAAAGAAGACGCGGAGGATTTAAAAAAAAAAAAAAAAACAACTACATCCCAGACGCTACGATGATGTCATTTTTCACAGCGAAGGAGAGAACCAGTTTCAAATCTTCTTGCAACAAAGGCAACGCAAAGTGTGTGCTGTTTTGTGTGCATGCGTTCCAATGTGCGCGCTCACTTCAATTTGTGGATTGAATTCTTCGTGCTGCCCTGCGCTCTTCTTGTTTTGCCCCGTTGTGCTGAAGATCTCAGAGAATCGCTCCATCTTCCCGACATGGTGGCCTCTGTGGCGCATCCGTATTAATGTATACCTGCTGGCGCAAGCGTGTGCGTGCGTGTGTGTGTGTGTGTGCGCGTGTGTGTTTTATGCTTGAGCAACACAACTCCGTTGTCGCAGCAGAAGTCTTCTCTTTTCTCTTTCTCTCTTCTTACTGCCATCGCTTCCCCCATCCTCCTCTACTGCCCTGCCTTCCGAACGAGGGCGAGGGGAAGTTCTTATCTGCACTTTTTCAAAATGTAATAATAATATGAATAATAATAATAATCATGACAACCTTGAGGTTGAGGATGGTTTCGATGACGATGATGGTCGCGGTGGAAATGAAGGGAGGAGTGTGCGAAAGGCGAGATTGGGGAGAGGCCGCCTCTGCGCTGTGGCTTGAGGGTGTCGAGATGAGGAAGAGGACGCAGAGGAAGGATGAAGGGCTCTCGTCCGCCTCTTTGTGCGTCGCTTGTTATTTTGGAGCACGTGCACCGGCATGCATGGGGATGTTTCCTGTCGATGGACTGCCGTGGTGAGAAAAGAGAAGCTCGCGCTTGGCTTTGCTTGTCTTCAGGAGGCTTGCCAAGCCGGCATTGTGATGACACAAAGTGTGAAAAGCACGATCCAACGGGGGAGACTGACATTTTCTGTATGATGTTCACAATGCTGTAATCAGTCAGTGCCGGAATGGATTCAGGCTTTTTTTCTGATTCCCCCCCCCCCCCCGCCCCCCCTCGTAAAAGACAGCCGAGAATTTTGTTTCGCACTCCGTGGGTGTGATTTTTTTTTTGAAGATGGGCTGATCTGTGACCGCGAGATACTGGAAAAGAAGATCATCTTTTCCCCCGGGTGCTTGAGACCAGCGCAGGGTTTCAGTGGTTGCCTGCTTTGTCAGCCACAGTCAACTCACATTCCCTCGCAGTAAATAAAACAGACATGCATGGACAACATGGATACTTGCAGACATTTAAAGCGACTTGCTCACAAATGTTTTTACAGTCGGAAAAATTCTTTGAGGCCAATTCCGAAAACTGGTGATTCTTTTTTGTTTTCCTCTGTTTCCGATTTTAAGGACTTCTATCTGAAGTCGCCGTATTAGATTGACAGTTAAAAGTTGAGCAGGGTGTGGTTTCAGCACATTCAGCTGGGGAAAAAAAATTTTTTTGAATCCCCATTTGGTATAATTGGCCATGTTTTTTTTTTTTTTTTATCATTCAAAATTGGCTGGGTTGTTAACCACACTTTTCTTTGTGGTCTGTCAAATTTACAAGACATATTTATTTTTGCTTTACAGGGCCTTTAACAGTCGAAGGTTGTTACTGGACATGGTGGTTGTCAATGACCATGCAGTTCGAAATAAACAGGTGTGTGTGTTTTTGGGTCATTTACAGTGGACGTCTTATCATGTTATCAGGTTCCAGGGTGCATGAAAGGGTTAATTTAGTCAGCCTTCTGCTAGGCTCAATGGCAAAAAGGCAGGCATGCACCCTCAAATCTGCTGGGTCAAAACAATGAACTCGCTAACGGCGTCAGGTCCGAAAGGAACCGAGACAATGCCGAGTTATTTATCTCCAATGTGCCATCATGGCCGCCAGAAGCCGTGACGTCCAAGTTCGCAAGTGTGACAAGCAGGCCGTCCTGCAGCACAAGCGAAAAACTTTTGTTTCGAGATATGTCATTGCCATCAGATAATCCTCCATTTTAGCCTTATCTGCACAAGATTAGACATCTCTTTTGGCTCCAAGCTCCTCCGGCCTGTTTGTGTGTCCATTCCTTGGACAGAAGGGAGCACAGTGTGCCGAAGCGACACTTGCCAGGGAAAAAAAAAAAGAAAAAAAGATAAGAGTGTGTCTTCAGTAGCGACCATAGAGATGCTGGAAATGGCTGTGAAGGAGGAAAATAATCACCACGCCGTCGCTTTCCTAAGGTGAATGTGCAAGTGATCTACTTCCACGGCTTGTTTTTTTTTTTTTTTGCCATGCTTACCGTATTTTCCGCACTAAAAGGCGCACCTAAAAGCCTTCCATTTTCTTAAAAGCTCACAGCGCGCCTTAAAATCTGATGCGCCTTGTGTATGGTCATTACGGTAATATTTCGAGCCCAAAATGGCTCCTTGCTCGAGACATGCTTACAATACAGAGTTCAAACTTAAGGCGCGAACACGGAAATAGAGCGGCGGCAAGAGAGTTCAACGTTAACGAGTCAATGTTATAACTTGCTGTTGGGTAAGTGGACAGTGTCGCTGCTTTATTAAATAAGTTTTACTGACATCTGATTGTTCTGTTGGTATTTCCTTGAGCGTAGCTCCATCTACTGGCTGGATTGTAGATTGCGTCTTATAATGCCCAATGTATGAAAAAAAAAATACCGTAATTTCCGGACTATAAGCCGCGACTTTTGTCACACGCTTTCAACTCTGCGGCTTATTTCATGAAGCGGCTTATATAAAGACTTTTCTAACGGCCGCCTGTGTACCGTCTTTCTTTGTAAATATCTCATGTTACAATATGGGCACCTGCGGCTTATACACAGGTGCGGCTTATGTGTGTACAAAATATTTTTTTCCTTTAAAAATGTAGTGGTGCGGCTTATAATCAGGTGCGGTGTATAGTCCAGAAATTACGGTATACAAAATAGGCCATTCATTGAAGGTGCGCCTCATAATCCAGTGCATCTTTTAGTGTGGAAAATACGGTGCCCCAGGAGAGAGAAATCACCACACTCGACCCAGTAAACCGGCAAAAGATGCGGTGTGATTCTTAGTGGCGCGAGGTCCGTGTCTTGCCGCCGGTGCAGGCGGAATGGAAGCAAATAGGTTGCTAGGTGGCACATTGAAAACTCGCGGCACACCACGGAGTGCTTTTGTTTTCCTTCATGCAAATTTGTGCTATCACTGTATATAACCTTTGTTTGAACTAGAATATCCCTTGGGCACAGCCAGTGTGTGATCATGATCTGCTGTGAAATTTTCCATAATTACATCTAGTTGCAAACCACGTGGATAATCATGCTCAAGGTTGCAAAGTGAATCAACATGTAAATGCACTTTCGATGATTATTCAGAAGTTGCATAACAAACAGTCTCTCGCTTTGCCAGAAGCCCTCAAACCAGCACCATTCGAAGGAAAGCGATGTTCAACAACATAAAAGAGAAAGCCGTTTCCAAATCTCAGTTCTTATGTCCGCACCACCTGTCCCATGCCTCTCAAATGTGAGAATTGCGACCCTCGAAAACCTCCCGCTCATGTACAGGATATAGCGAGCGAGAGCACACCACGCAAGCAAAATGTTCTCCCAAACGACTTGTAATATTCCCTCAAGGGACGGAGTGAGTGCTTGGCATTTGTTCCCCATGCTGTAGACATCACGTTGAGCAACAACGTTCGCTAAACGCATTTTTGCAGTCTGCCCGTTCAACATGAACCCTTTCAGGGACAGCGGTTACGACAGTGGACAGCTTACCATGTTATCAGGTTCCAGGGTGCACGAAAAGGTTCAATCAATTCACGTCAATTTGAAATTTGCCGACAAACACCGAGTTGTGCTCTTCTCAACCGAAATAACTAGTTTAGATGTCCGAGCCTGATAATATTGTTTGTTCTTCTGGTACTGTGCCCTTTCTGGTTGTAGAATGTAAGTTCCGCACTGACGGACATGGCGTCGGTGACTGACTTCTTTGGAAATGTGCCTGTACCCGGTGCTCTTGCTGTAGTTGTGCAATATTAAATTGAAGCTTCGCTGCGCTGAACGTGTGCCGATTGAAATGAGGCTGTTGTGATCTCATCGGGGACGGCGTCCATGCGCAGATGCTTATTTTGCTGAATCACAGCGTCATAGCCCAATCGGCCGATTGTCGTCGTTTGCGAGTCCTTGCGCAGGCAGACTCGGCCTCCTCCACCAAACTCACCATTCAACTCGTTTGAAGCATTTGTTAAAAAACAAAAAAAAAAACAGTGTGACTTCTCCCAATCAGGGTTCAAAAGTAAGCGTGATTTGAATTGTAACAATAATGAGAAACAAATTTTTTTTTTTCTTTCGGTTCACATTTGATTGTTGGTCAGTATGTGTGTGCTTTGGTGTTCCTGTGTTTATTTTCTTTACAAACGTGATAAGAAAATCCTTCTGTTTTTGAGAACTTTATGTAAATAATATCGTTGGTGGAAATGAACATTTGTCGTACAAGCGAGTTTTCTTTTGTCACTTGAAATCGACGAAGAAAACGAGAACAGTGGTGATGTTGGCGATCGCTGATTCTAACCGCCCTTCTTGAATAAGGGCTTTTGATGTCCGTCGTATTTTTGTGGGAGGGGCTCATGCACTTGGAGGAGGAAAAAGGGAAGAAGTGCTACCCGTTGCATCCCAGGCCCACTGTAGCAATACTGCCACGCAGCTTTACTCCTGGAAATAGAATGTGGAAGAAGCCTGACTCATCAATGCACTCTGATACGTATATATTTTATGAGAAGCATCAAAAGGCGGTCTCTATGCCCACCCTCCTCCCCCCATCTGTCTCTTTGGCTACGCCTTCCGCTGTCTTCTTATGGGCTTTGGGATTTACCGTAATGCCATTGTGTTCGACAGGATTGACCCCGCTCTCACACGGATCATGCCAGACCAAATTTGGAGGCGGGCTTTGTGTAGCTCGAGACCAGAAGTGGGCGAGCGCCTGGCCCTGAGGACTATTTGCACGTTTGCACGCACTCCTCTACACAACCGACATCACAAAAGGGACTTGCATCTTGCGTGGTGAAATTTAGCGAAATAAATCCCTGGATTTACGGGTACCTGTCAAGGCGATGAACACACGAATCGGCGTTATGAATGACAATGAGAGTAAAATTGATCTTTTTAAATACAGTGGCAACTCAACATTTGAGTGTCACTAAAGTGAAAATAAAGTTTTCAGGGAAAAAATAAATTTGAATTCATTCAGTGGTGGAAGTGTCATTGCTCAGTGGCTATTTTGGTGGCGCCACTGATGGAACAAGGGATGCTAAAGAGAAAACGGACAAAGATGCTAATCCTGCAGATGTGCAATATGGCTGAAGCAACAGTAAGACAATGTTATTAATAACGTTGAAATAATTCAATCATCGCTGTCCCGTGAAAACCAAGTCCATGTCCATTCTTGTCCTTTTTTTTAAAGAAAAATTGCGTTTCCGACATCCCAATTATGATTCATTATCGTCAATTGTTCGCGGGTCCACTATTCATAGTACAAAAGTACAAAGTAAAAATGTATTTTCGAATGTTTTGTATAATCTCCGTTTCGATTACTTACTAAAACCCACCGAAAGGAAACCAAAAAAAATCACATCCTGAAAGCTAAATTCGAGAACGGAAATGACGACAGGCCCTGCATGAGCAAATCAACATCCTAAAAGATGGCGAATTAACTGATGACAACTGAAAAAGAAAAATACCGTTGCCGAACAGAAGCGGCTGATTTTTGGGTTGACACAAGCGTCCGGCACATAAAAAAAATTCTCTTAAATGAGGCCATGGACAGGGAATTACTTTGAAATCTTTACTATTTTCAAATGCAGGCAGTAAATGTGAAAAGTCAGAACATAAAGATAGCCGAAAAATCAAATAATTTATTACTTCCTATCGCTGGTATTTTAAATGTGAATCGTGTTCTCCCATACGCACACAGTGACCATTTTTTTTTAAACAAACTGACTTTGACCAGAATGGATCATTTTCAATGTTTAGGGTTCCACTGTTTCCAAAATGTATCATACCATGGGCCATTCTCCATCAAGCTGCGTGCCAAAATTGGAACCCAAATGGCTGGCTCAAGTTATTTCCACGCCTCTCTATGTCCACCAGCGATATTAATGCACGTGTGGTTTCACATTTCATATTTCAGACTGGCCCCACCACAAACGTACTTACAGTTACTCCAGCAGCCTGCAGGAAGGACAGCCGATGCACTTCCGTCTCCATTTGTAATGTCATCCCATAGCGGGCGTCCCGAGGGTTGGGGGGCAGACGCCAACGCCACACATTTATTGATGCCCTAAAAATAATCTTTTACTCCAGATCCACCCCCTAGGAGATTTTTTGCTCCCTCCTCTATCTCTCTCTCTGCTGGTCGAAATAATTTGTCTTCACTTTGAGCAAGTCGGATCCACAGCCATCATGTGAGATCAGGCGGGGAATTGGAGGAAGGAGCAGAGCCGTTTCTAATATGGCCGCTGAAAAATGGGACTTAACTCGGGGCTCGTTTGGGATGGCGCGGCTAGCACTTGTCGTTTTTCACCTCCTCTCCGAACTTTCCGTGGCTCACCTCCTCAACAAAGAGTGCGCAAGCTTAAATACACACAATTGAGATGTGTACAATCTAATTCCATGTATTTCACTTCTTGATTTCTGTATTTTTGCCAACTTTGTAAAGTGTATAAATATCCATAAATATATGGACAAGACAGTACTGTATAGATTTTAGCTGCCTGGTAAGGTTCCTAGTATGTACTTGGTAGACCAAAAGAAGTGTAGAGCTGTTTCAAAAGCCAGTTACTGACATTCGCGCAGTAACTCGCCGCCACTGGCGCTTTTTATAAGTTTTATTTCTGCTTTATTTTTTTATTCTCGGCAGCGGGAGCCAAAGTGTGTTGTTCTTAATTTTGTCAATTCATTTGTTAGTTTGTTTTCCTTTTGCTGTCCCCCTTCCTCCCCTTCTTTAGTTTACAAGACACAGCAAGGTTCTGGCAGCCAGGAGAGTGCAATGGAACGCAGACTGGGACCCTGTGCATTAATGTGTGTGTCTGCGTGAGTGTGTGTGTGTGTATGCGTGTGCGCGTGAGTGTGTTAAGTGTGCGTTTGTCCACGCTAGTGCAAGTGCTAGTGCTCTCTGTGCAAAGCCCCCCCGCCTCCTCCCTCTGATGTGATCCGGTGTGTGTTCAGGTGCAAGATGAGCGTGTTGGCTGGAGCTGGCAGATGCCCACCCCCCCACCCCTCCAACTCCTTCATTCCAAAGCTTCATTTTAATCCTCCACCAAGTATAGATTTCCACTTCCTCCACTCGATTGTTCCTTTAGTCTCCCATTCAGAAGGTAATGCATACACCTCCAGAGTCTAATTTACCACTAATCCAGGCTCTCACATCTATCTGGGATTCTGTGTCCATTAGCGACTCATATTCCTCTCCTTATTTATTTTATTTTTTTTTCCAGCAAGAGCTCTGTGAACCAGAGAGTGATCAAGCAAGAAAAAACAAGGTAGAGCCTTGCACCTCCTCCCCAGGGCCAAACACTTAAAAGTAGAGAGGCAGCCAAAAACAGAATCGACGAATCAGAACTACACACAGTTAAACACGGTATGGCCCAGTCCACTTGTTCAGTTTTATGTCCTGTTTAGCTACCATGTGCTAACAACTTCAAATGATATTGAAAAAGTACAATAACAACTTCCAAAATACAGCGGTACCTCTACTTACGAAATTAATTGGTTTGGGAAGAAATTTCTTAAGTAGAAAATTTTGTGGGTAGAGACGTGTTTTCCATGTAAGTGCCCTAATCCCTTCCAAGCCACCGAAAATTCAGACATAGTTTCCTAAAGCATAAAAAGGCATCAAAATATGTAACAAATACATGTTACAATTAGATTATTGCGCAATAAATGAGAGTTGTGCATAATTTAAAAAAACAATGAATAGAGAAGAGAATAAAAATGATGGTCATTATCGCTTTTAACTGCGTCCTCATCGTTTTTTGCCCTCTTAAGTTCATGTTCTCTCTCAGAAGTGTTTTTTGCCTGGCGTTTTGTCAAGAACTGATCCAAGGATGATTGCTTCGAAAATGTCCAAGGTAAACATCAGCATAGTGAGCGATTGCCCGACGGGTGAACACTTTTTCTGGGTGATTCACATTTACGTAAAACTATCGGAACGCCTCATGACCGAGGGGCGATTGACAAGGATGTTGCAGAAACACATATCTATTTATCGATCTACACACATAGACATATATGGTCGAGGTCCCTCTTAGCCAATGGGATGCCAGGATGATGCCCAATCATAACCAATGGCAGAGCAGCTATAAGTATGTTGCGTTCAGGAAACTCCGAGCTCCAAGTAGCAGCCCATACTGGATTTTTACCTTTCGTATCTTGAAATTTCTTTCGTATCAAGAGGCAATATTTTCCAGTTGAGTCGTTTCATAACTTGAAAAGACGTTCGTAAGCAGAGGGACCACTGTACTGTCAGACTTCCATTTGAAAGTCAAAGCAGGTCAAAGCTCACAGTGACGACAGGGTCAGAGTTTTTAAAGACCTTGTAAATTTAATTTATTGGAAAAAAAAACATAGTAACTATTAATAGTCATTAAGAATTTTTTTTTTGCATATATGTTTTTCCTTTAAATTTTTTTTTTAACCACTCCTGTGAATGACTTGGCCCATTTGTCCATTTTCAACAACAAATGTGACCCTTGAGCCGGTAAAGGTACGCTCTCATCAGTGATCATTCTTTTCTTGGTCCCGCGATGGAAGTGTGGTGGGGTGTGGACGAAAGGCAACTAACTGTCAGCACAGCCAACCCCAAGTCAAAAGCAGCCATAGATCAAAGATCAAGTGCAGGATTGCTTGGCACTTTGTTTCGCAAGAGACAGAACAGCCTTAAAGATGGATGGGACCCGCTTGCTAGTGGGCTACTCGTTGTGAACCACAACTCCCCCTCCTTCGCGCACGCTAAATTTATAACCAAGTGCTCTGACGTATTGCTTGTTGTGCTTGCGTTGACGTCTCGTCTCTGTGTTAGCGTAGCATCGGGTTCTTACTGGGCGACCTCCGCAGACGTCCTCGGCCTCTCGGTACCTCGCACTTGAGTCCGCCATTTGCGTACAAGCCATGATTATAACAATGTCGTATTGATGCTTAAGTTCATGCCACCCTTCCACCACTCTGCCGCTTCCTACCTGCCGACATGCTGACCCCCCTTGAGAAGCAAAAGGGTGAGGAAGGCGAGGAGGCGGAAGAGCCCAGCGAGGCGGCAGAGTGGTTGCTCGCTTTGTCCCATCATGGATCGGGAGGTCAAATTGAGGGCGTCTGAAGGTCACACCCAGTAGCGCTTTGGTTTTGCGTTCCATGTTTTTTTTCTTCAGCCTCTCCTGTTTTTTGGCCGAGCGGACTGTGATCTTAATGGTGGTCGTTGTTCTCCCATCGGTGTTCGAGTGTGATGGATGGAGCCAAGGAGCTGAGCTCTGATTTTGTTCCATAATTAAAGAATCATTTTTACGACATAATTCAACGGCTTTCTTCGTGATTGATGAATCATTTTCGAAAACAAACTTGAAAGGGCTAATGCTAATTATTGTCACTGATGAATGAAGCATTGATGACATGTTGTGACCAGTTGGATTGCCATATATCAAACTGCTTCTAAAATCTCGTGAAGCCAGAGAATTTAACTACACTCCAGCAAAAAAAAAAAAAATGACGAAGTCCCACATTTGCAATGTTATCTTGCTTTTGGGGTTTTACTTGTCACACTCAGGCTCGAGTTTTGACTTGAAGCGGAAGTTGAGGTAAAAGAAAAACAACACATTTTTTCTCGACCTCAATAAATATTTCCGCATTTGTTCCCATATATAATGTGGTGGATATACGGTGGATATAAAAAGTCGACACACCCCAAATGACAGGTCGTTTTTTTCCCACAATTCACGCAGTCTGTAACCTCTTTCGAGAGGTAATTTTTTTTTTTTAAATCACTAATTAACCAATCACGTTCACACTCAACAAACAGAAGTCAGCACACAGCAGCATTTTAAGTGGCACTGATTATCCCCAAATAAATGATGCATGTTTTAGGAATCTTTTTCTGACATTTGTTTTTTGATGTCTGTCAGAATAACTGACAAGGGTTTGGAACTGCGGACAATTCCGGCCACTTTATCCAAGATCCCATTTTCAGCTAAAGGAAAACAGCCGCTGTTCAGGATGCTGCCACCACCACGATTCACTCTTGGTTTGGTGTGCTTTGCCATTTTTTAAAATTTTTTTTTTGGAAAGAAAGTCAAGTAGAGTGACTCATCAACTTTTCCAAATACAAAAATAAGTGTTGCAGAAGATGACATTTGACAAGGAATTTTGCCTTCATGTTTTCATCACCTGAAAAAAAAAAGTTATCTTGGAATGGCCCAGCCAGAGCCCAAACGTAATCCAAGTGGAAATATGTGGCCTGAATTCAAGACGGCTTTGCACAAGAGACGTCCTTGCAATCTCGCAGCACCTTAAACATGGAAGGATGGTCAAATATAATGAGGCGAGTACCAGATTTGTTCCTTTTTCAATTCATTTCATCACGAGAAGACTTTGGACGATGAGGTTCTCATTTACAGAATTTGATTTCCGTTTTCTGGAGTTTGGGTCGTATGTTAAATGTGATCGAGAGCACATCCGTATGTCTCTCCTTTGACTTTTCATTTTTTAATTAGGTCAACACGAACATACATTGTAATTAAACTGTCCAACAAATGATGAAAACCTCATGTCAACACTGTCATTGAACGTGTACTTTAATTTACTGATAATGATGGCCTCTTGCTTTTGAAGCGCATTAAAAAAAAAAAAACTACGGTGCTCTGAGCAACGCCTTAGTCAGCGGCATGATGACAGATTTGACCATTCTATTTCCAATCAAGATGTCACGCTTTACCCGTGCGGCTTAATTAGCTCATGCATTGTTGATAGCGTACCGTGCATGTGACGCTTTGCAATCTCGGCGGTGCTGATTGGAGCTTCATCCGCTCAGCACACTGTATTCACATTCCACTGCACCCTTGCGACCGCTAAAAATTATTCTATTTAATCTTGTTCTTGTCAGGTTCGTCAAGAGTTTCGCCGTGTGTCGTGCACGTCAGAAATTGTGCTTGTTTTAACATGAAAATGTCTTATATACCGACTGGATTCCCCTCGACGCTTCCTAATCTCTCTTCTTGGCGGCCAGGATATGTCAGTAAGTAAAATAATGTTTCTATTAGACTTGATTTATTGTGAAAGCAGAAATGTGTCGCGTACTGTAGAATTGTGACACGCCTATGTCTGTTTTCAAAAGGAGGATGTGAACTGAGTTTTTTTTGTTTGTTTGTTTTTGGTTTACTATTTTGAATCAAAAATAAAACTGCATTATAATCCAACATAAGCGGAAGGCAGTTAAATGTGCAGTACTCAAATAATTATCTGAAAAGATTCAAAAGGGTTTTCCGTCTTTCTATTAGACGACCACCACAAAACATACAAGACACATAAGATTTTATTTTCAACCCAATGTTGGTAATTTTGCAGGCAGACTGTGAGACGGAGGGCTGTGCCGCTGTGGGAGTGGTCACATGCAACTTCAAAGCGGCTCCTTTCAGTACCTTAAATGCTGCCTTCATATGCTGCTAGTTGCACACTAGAGTGTGCGCTGTCTTGTGACCGCTTGGAGACCAGGTAGGGCTTCGAAGTACGTTTCAAACTAGGTACATGTTTGAAAATATGATAACTGTTTTAAAAAGCAGTTTATATACAGGTGTATATATCTTTCAAGTGGGTCACAATTGAGCAAATTAGCAAACGAAAATATATTTGTCCCAGGTTGACAACTTTTGAGAACCACCACTGTAGAATATTTAAGATTAAACTCAGGATCCTCAAATGCAAGAATTTATTTTCACCACTGTTTCCAAAAATGCTCCTGGAAGTGCTCTATAGATTTCTGTTATTTGTTTTAATCCTTTGTCGATTTTTCACACTGGTGTGAAAGTTTGTGAGCTATATAAGCCCAGTAAATGAGCTCACTGTGATGCTTCCATGTTAATGTGCGCTCTCTCCATACCATCAGCGGCAGAAATATCGCTGTGTATTTTACTCCAAGCTGCCAGATTGGCCAATTAAGAGGAGAAATCCAAATGAAGCAGGAAGGAAATAAGAAAGAACATTGGTGCAGTGAGGCAGAGTGGGGGGGTGCGCCTCAGAGAGCAGACTTATAAAGAAGGGTCTTCTCAGCTGTCTTTTTATCTTTCTCCGACTCCAATCAACTCCATGGGCCGCATATTACAGCTTGTGCGGACACCGCAGTGATCCTCCTCCGTTGAGCTGGAGAGATCACAGTCAGGCTGAGACACAAGGTGGGCTTAGCAGCCGGGGGCCGAGCTTTGGTCCCTCCCTGAACTACGCCAGACGGCTGCAGAGGAGCCAAGCACAGCAGCTCAACAGGAGAGCCTCGCTTGGATCACCTCCATCTATTTTTAGAAGCGCCGCACCCATATGATCTCATCTTTGAAATCATCTCAAGAGTCAAACTGTTACGCCTTCATCAAAAGCGTTCACAACGTTAGATAGAGGATTTGCGCCGTTGTGGGAGTGAACACAGTCGGCTTACTGCCTGGCCAGTGAAAGCGGCTCCACTCATTCGCTTTATATTCAATGCCGGGGAGGCGCGCGCTGCCACAGCGTTTGACATTGCGACCTCAATGGAGTCCGTGCAGAAAATCGAAGCGCAGAAAGAACTGCAAACATACGTTGGGCATATGATGTAGAATTGTTTGATATTAGGCTTTCAAATTTGGGCTTGGGTTTCAAAATAGCATAAGGGTTTCATAGGTGGGTCAGGGTTTCAATTTATGGGATAGGTTTAGAGCTCACAAAAACTAGGGTTAGGGTTTCAAAGTCGGCTTTTAAACAAGGCTTAGGAATTTAAGCTGGGGTTCGTGTTACAAAGGAAGGTTCTAAACGAGGGTTAGGGTTTCAAAGTAGGATTGTAAAATAAGGTTAGGGTTTCAGAATTGAGTTAGGGTTTCAAAGTCTTAAGTCTTCTTAAATTATCCTCAGAAGAGGATAGTTCGACCGTGTTTTTTTTTCCCTCTCCCTACCTAGTGGTTTCCTTTCTGAACTCTGACTGTAAATTTCCCCATTGCGGGACAAATAAAGGATATCTTAAAGAAGTCTTTTAAACTAGGTCTCTTCAGACGGTGTTGCTGAAGGCCAGCTCAATTTTACGCTCGTAGTTTTTCCGCGTTGACGAGACTGCCGCATCATCGCCGAGACTCGCAACCGCTCAACCTGTTTGTAATCATCATGCAGAGAGCGGAGACATACAAACCGCTGTCTTGACACCAGTCAACAATCACATGCTCGTCTCATGACAACAGTTTCAGGTGCCACCGCACTGATGCGACCTCAAATGGAGCCTCTGCAAATGGATCAATGCGAATATGAAATATGCCAGCGATATGCACATTGTATTTAAGAGAAAAGAAGCAGGAAATGAAACTGTCACTTTCAATGTCGCAGGCGTTTCCCAAAGTTATTTTTGCGGACAAAGATAATGAAGTGCTCCAGACTTGGCATGACAGCATGTCAAGTAAAAAAAAAAAAAAAAAAAAAAAAAAAGGCAAAAAAAAAACAACCCCCGGGAAAAAAAT